CTCCTCTGCGTCCATGTCTTCTAGGGTATCACGGGCAACCTCGGGTGCAGTACTGCTGCCACTTTCGTCGTCGTCGTCCGCACAAATGTCAAAGCCAGGATAATGTACTTCTTCAGGATCATCATCTTTACTCCTCATCGGTCTGGCGTGTCCTTCTCCAGGTAAGAACATCATCGTGGGCTTTGGTGCATTCGCCAACATGGCCAGCAACTCTGCCTCTGCCTTTGAAGGTTCGGCCGCAACACGAGGTTTAGGCTGATTCGCTTGACCAAGGACAAACGAGGGCGCGAGAAGTCCAGTTGACGCGGCAGGCTTGATAGTACGACCACCATGGATGCCCTCACCCGCAAACGACGGCTGGCGGACACTCTTCTCGGCGGACACGGGCGAGCGTTGAAAGTCTTCTAATAAGTTCCTACCCGGTGTTTGTAGCGAAGGTAACGCGCGTTTGAGGTCGGTCACGGCTTTTTTGAAAGGACTTCGGGGCGAGAGGACGCCTTCGACCGCGAGCAGGCGACGTTTGGATGGAGATACGATACTCGATGGCGAGTATGGACGTTTCTTTCCTAGAAGCGATTCTGTTTTGGAACCTGCGGGGTGGATGAAGAGCGAGAGGGGCAGATCGCGCAAGGGCAGGCGGTTGGTGGGTCGCTCGATCTGTGGCATGCTAGACGACGCGTGATTTGGAATTTAGCACTCTGTTTGATACGATTTATGAATTTTTGGTGAATTATGCGGCGTTGTGGGCAGTAATTTGTGAGGTAGTAAAGGGGCAACCGTGTTGGAGCCACCTGCGAGAGGACGCGCACAAAATCGGCAAAAATGTTTGAAATAATTCTCACGTCGCAATGACGCGTCTTTGATATTTATACGCATTTTAGAGTAGATTTTTGGGGAGACGTTGCGTACCCCTGGCCCAGATTTCAAACTCCGGTTTCCCAGGCAAGGCCCAGCAAGCGAGATGATGGTTGACACGACCAAGCAACAAGAATTTGAGAACTTTTGGGGGATCGACGACGGCTGTCATAGTACGGCATGCATCCCTGGATTCCCATCGGAGTATCAAACGTCCAAGTCTTTTGTGTCAGAATAATGTCTATAATAAAAATGATAATTCTTAATGTAAATAAATGGCGACAATCATCTCCGTAATAAACCCTAACTATCCCGCACCGCACCGGATATGAGCGAACAGTGAGAGCGAGTGAATTGGGCAACCCGCACCTTCACTTGAACCCGACGCCGACTTTCGTGGCTGGCCACCACGCCGAATATTCTCAAAAAAAAAAAATTCACGACTAATCATCCTCCGAAAACGTAGTAGATGAACGGAGTGCGCCGGTTGTTTGGCCAGGCTCCAGGGGCGTCGACGGCCGTAGAACAACCTCTAAACATTAGCATTCCAAACGATACAAACACTTCATGGTCTCCTCAAACCTCTAAATCGAATAATGCTGGGCCAAGCAGTGCACGGACGCCCTCGCCTGCTTCAGCATCAGCCCCATATGGCACCAGCACCAGCAATAGATTTAATAATACAGCATCACCCACTACGTCTGCAAGAGCTCCTTCAAGACAGGATTCGAATCCTTTTGCGTTGGACGAGATAGCCAGCATGAGCAGTACCACCCGCTCTGCCTCGCGAGGAGCCAAGCGAAAGACCGGCGGTGGTCCCTCTGGTCATTCAAAGGCTTCCTCAAGCCTATCACGAAGTATAGCATACACAAGTAGCTCACCTCCCGTTCCCGGTTCTGTCCCAGCCGGTACGACAAAGGACGAGCTCATCATCGAACTCCTCGCAAGCGAAGCCGTCGTCGACAGTCGAGATTGCGAAATTCTCGGAGCAGAACAAGTCGAGCAATTGAAAAAGGTGTGTATACAAGAAGGAACCCACTACCCCAGTTTGGAAGCTTGCGCGAGATACCGTCCGTTGACAGTTTCCGCCCTTTTCAGGAACTCAAAGCGCTCTCGTCCCGTCAAACAGCGGCCGCCAAGAAACTCACACTGGAGACAAAGTTACGTGATGCAGCCCTCTCACTGAACAAACTACATCCTTCAAATGGAGAGCCAAATTCGGCCGCTCTAGACGCCGCCAATGCCAAAGTAGACGCAGCCCAAACCGCCCTATCCAAACTCGCAGAGCAAAGCAACATAATACACAAACGGCTCTTAGAGCACCGCACCGCCGTCCTCAGTTATTCTCTCTCGCGCCTCGAATCACTCGTGAAACCCGCACCCGCCAATGACACCTTCAGTTCCGGCCGTACAACGCCCGCCAACCAGGGAACAAGTATGAATCATGGCATGTTCTCTGCGGATAGTCCCACCTCGGCCGTCACCAACATGTCACTATCAAACCGTGCACGGTTTGAGGGTGCACACCTATTCGCCGGTCACGCCGAGGCGAAACTACCCAACATGCCCAAACCCTTCCGCTCAGTCGCACAAGCATCCGCACTTGAAGAGCAGATTGCCACCTTACAGGAGCAACTGCGCAACGCGGTCGACGAAAAAGAAGAGCTGGCACGGGAGGCAGAGGAGTTACGGACAGAACGCAAGCAGGAAGCTGCAAAGCTGGCAGAGGCTGACACGACCATCTCCGGTCTACGATCAGATTTACACCGCATGAGCTCGATGAGCAAACAAGTCCGAACACTCGAGGATGAAAGGCGGCAATGGGAGGAAGTACGGACACAGATGGAGCGCGACTTGGAGCAAGCCGAACGATCACAAAAGGGTGTAGGCGAGCAAGTTGAACGCGAATTGAAGCAGGTCAAGGAGACACTCGAGCGCGAACGGCGCGAACGCGAGGCGGAGCGAATTGCCTGGGAAGATGAGCGGATGGACGAGGCAGCGCGATTACAGGGCGAGATTGATGAACTACGAGATCGCGAGGCCGCTGCTGCCTCATCCCGCAGTGCAGATGTCGAGCTCGATATGGCCTCTGAGCGGCTTCAGGCACTCATTCGCACGCACGACATCCAACTTTCGCCATCCCAACGCCGGGAAATGTCCGTCCTAGTCTTGACCAATGCCTTGAGCAGCCACCTCGATTCCATAAAGGAGGGTGTGCAGAAACGGAAAGCGGAAAAGGACGAGTGGGATGCGGCTCGACGACGACTCGAGGCTGACCTGGCGGCTGCCCTCAAGCGACCAGAAACCTTATCACGGGAACTTGAAGAGTCGCGGCAAGAGACACGCACACTCGAGGAACGTCTCAGGGATGTCCAAAACGGCCGACCTGTACCTTCCAAGAGCAACTCGATGGGAAGCGACCCAGGAAGCTCTAACGGCAGTGGTGGACGATCTTCGGAGGACATGGATCGCATGATGTCTACACTTCGTTCGCTATGGTGCCTCTTACCGTCACGAGAGACACGTGCGGCCAAGGCAGGCTATGGCCGGGCAGGCTCGCCGACGTCGCCCCTGCACACTATCACAGGCAAAGCTGGTGGTCGGCTAGGGGACGGCATGTCGGGACCCTCGTTATCGGACCTCGACGTTCGGGCGCTCAAGGCCCTATACGACCCACGCGCCAATTCGCCCAGCCCCATTTTCAACACACTCTCCCATCCTGGTGATTTCACCCTTGAAGGTTTCGCGCAGCGTGTGCAGGCTCTCGTGGCGGATGACCGTGCAATCATCGAGAGATTGCTGCGATTTGCTCAGGCGCACGACCTGCTCAAGAACAATGCGGAACGTGCCCAAAAGCTGGCGCAGGAAAGCTCACAGGGACTCGAGACGTATTCGAAGCAAGTCAAGAGCTTAGAAGAACGTAACCTAACATTGGTCGCCAAGCAGACGAATCTGTAAGCGAACCTTTTTACTTCTAGTTAGACATGGATGCTAATCATGGTTTACAGGCTCGATGAGATTAACCAGTTACAAGGCGCGGTGCAGCGCGCACAACGGGAAAAGCGTCAAATAGAACTAGAATTGCAAGATCAAGGTGTCACACTACAGAGTCTTGCAGACGCAAACAAGACGCTAAGCGCACGGGCGCTCTCGCTCGCCGAAGAAGTAGCGACGGCTCCCGAGTCAATGCGTATCAAGATGGAAGCGCAACTGACCGAAGTCCGGCGGCAATTGAAAGAGGCTATCGAGGAAATTGAAGCTATGCGAGGGAGCGACCAAGGCCAAAAGGCCGCACTCCTCGACGAGCTCAATGTCGTTCAAGGAGAGAACACAAAGCTACGAGAGCAGCTACGATTGGAACAAAGGAAGAATGGCAAGTAGTAATCATTTAGGGAATTTTTGTTCGGATCTGGTATTTCGTTTTCTGTTTTCGTTTTTCGTCGTCTTTCTTTTTGCTCTCATTTCGGACCCGGATTATTCCGCCTCTGTAGTCTTATGCTTTTGATTATTTGCGACAATGAAAATGCATTGAGGATACATGTTGTGTTACAAAACTGTCCTTTGAGGTCCTGCAGGAACGCCCAGCGTCACCGTAGCAATCTGCATGTCGATCCCACTGTCGCCCATACTCCAGTCTACTCGTTGTTCGCGTGGCATAAGTACGAGGGTACCCAGTAGGAATCTATTGTTTTGTTTGGGTATACATTGCAAAGCGAATGGCTGCCCAATCAAGGTCAGGTCGTGGTGGCTCACATCACTTTCGACATACCTGTTGATGAGGCCAGTCAAAGGATTTCGTTTCGCCCGTATTGAGCCAAAATTCGTGTAAATGAGGCCGTAATGCTAGCATTCTTGCCAGTCGCCTTGCATCCCTTCGCTCGGCCATCGTGGGCATATTGCGCCTCCTTCTATTGATGCGGAGGATACATAGGAGAAGGACAAGAAAGACAATTACAGGCGAGATAATAAATACGAGAATTTGTGGGCTTAGTTGAGGTGGCACAAACACCATCAAGAGATTGTGGTGGGTGGCAAGATGCTAGCCAGTGCGAAAGTGGAGGTGCTGTAGCTGAAATGTCGACTAAAATTAGAACTGTATAAATTTCAAACTCCAACAAAACGGAACAAACCCTTATTGAGCGTGTAGCTCCATGTGGGACTCGAACCCACAACCTTTAGATCACCAAATATCCCTATTTAGAAGTCTAACGCCCTACCATTGGGCTAATGGAGCGATTTCGGGAATTGCCCGAAGTAATATTATAAACTCTAGCTCAATTTGCGATAAGATATCGAATAGGCATAATAGCCACTACGGGGGATATTCGGCTACGCAGGCTGTACTAACATGTCTAATTCTTATATTTTGTTAGCCTAACTCCATACTCATGCGACGTGTGGAGTAAGACTCGCGTTCGCACAGGGTTTGCCTTCCGGAACAAAGTTAATAACACGCAACTACGCTACCAACAAACAAACAAGGGGATTTTCGAAACAGTACAATCCAAAGCAAAATAATAAAAATAGCATTATAAATCGGCACAGACGGAAGGCATAGTCGTCAAGGGGGGAGCGAGAGAGAGAGCAAAGGGATATAAAAAACCGTCCGATCATTGTCGTCGTCGTCAAGGGGGAACTTCCGTGAGAATGGTCTGAAAGGTTTGAAAGTATCTTAGCGCCGTTTGGGAAGGGAGTCCGTCAGCAACCGCATCGTTTAACAATCGTTGCACTCGTTCAAACAGGCCGCCGTGGCCGTGCATAGGAATAGATCGTTCATTATATTTTCGAATGGCTGTTTTGTCGTGTCAGAGCGTGTTGGCACGAAAGAAGATAGTACTCACCCCGCTCAAAGGATTTGTAACGCGATTCGCCAATGGAGAGTCTCATGGCATCGCGCAAGTCGTAAAACCTTTCCTCTCGTGTCGTCGGGTAAAGGGAAATTGCCAGACCAGCAGGAGATTGAGCCGGCGTGAGGTAATGGTTCTGCACAGTAGAGCCGGAAAGCGAGTGGCCATGGCCGTGACCGTGACCGTGGCTATGAGCATGAGGATGACCATGACTGTGACCATAGCTATTACTATTACTGTGACTATGATTGTGACCATGCCCATGAGCACAATGCTGATGTCGATAACTCGACGGCGACTTTGCACTCTCCCTTGCCGAGTCCAAAGATGCATGTCGCGCTTGACCTGGACTATTCCGACGCTTATCATACGACCCTGTTCGTTGCTCCTGATGAGGCTTGTTCCCCGCAAAGAGCCTGGGAGACCCAAAACCCTTGCGCAGACCCCACTCCGCGTCCTTTGGAGGTGGAGTAGGAGCAGGAGGGGAAACAGCCGTAGCAGAAGACGAAAAGTGACGATGGTGCGATCGCGGCTGGGGCTGGGGCTGAACAGGCATCGGAGGAGTAATCTTGCGAGGCTTGGACGGAGGAGGTGTAGGTGGCAAATCGATCCTGCTCCCATATGGCGTTGACGCAGGCGACTCAAATGCAAAGAGTCCGTGCGCGAGGTGGCTCCTAGAGCGGGAGGCAGCAGGGATCGACACTGGTTGTGAGAATCGGTCTCCTGGATCGGGTGACAGTTCTTCATCACCACCAGTCACATCTGGCAAGTTCTGGCGATGCATCGGCCCAATTACACGGAGGCGTTCGCGGCTTGGCGCACGTCTTTCACGACGTGCTTCGGTGCCAGCAGCCAGCACACTCTTGATCTCCGCAGTCATGTCAGAGTCCATGTCGGGTGCTCGAGCCTTGTATCTGCGTGTATGGTCGATGGGCAAAAACTCTTGGCTTTGGCCGGGCGTAGATGGGCGGGTCACTGGGCGTTCAAAGGAAAAAGAAGGAAGAGAGAGAAGGCCTCGGTCGAGCGGAGTGTCACATGGGAAATACGGATGCGGATGTGGGTGATGGTCGGGTGGCGGGCCTGGTACTCGTATACTTGTGGCGGCCAACGTATGTCCAGGAGAATGACTCCTCTTACCGTGTTTAGAATCGGATTTAGAGCGGCGTAATGTGAATTGATTAGGGTCCAAGTAGTCGTGAGAGGGCGGCGCGATAAAGGGTTCGGGGAGGTGTTCATGATGTCCATGATCGGAACGAGGCGGATTTGGCAGCGATGAACGCTTGCGTCGGAGGATGGGCGTAGAGGGCGTAGCGGGTTCCTTCCCTTTGAAGTTTGTGGGTAACGAGATGTTTGGGACGGGCATAGGAGGAGGGGGAGGCGTCGATTTAGCCGCACGCACGGTATCACCAGCACTGGACATCAGACCTAGAAACCGCCGTCTCAAAGGGGTCGATGGGACACTCTGGCTGACCATCATCGGCTCCTCCTGCTGTTGCTTGCCATTGTCCCCACGAAAACTGTCCTTTCGGAACTGATCTCTTCGCAACGCCTTGCGACCCGCGGATTGGAATAGGGAAGCCAGCGTCGGACGTGATTTGATCGTGCGACTCGGAGTAGCGGAGCGAGAAGGTGGTAGCTCAATCGGATGATGGTGTGGGTGTGATGGTTCAGGGCCTATGGCGTCAGACCTCTCTTCCACAACCGGGTTATTCAGTTCCTGGTACAAGGGTATATGCTGCTGCACTTGGGCGTGCCGGGTGAAACTGTGGACTGGGGGGCGAGGGAAAATCGGTAGGGGGCCAAGAGATGAATGCTTTGATGCAAGTCCTGTGGTCGAGGCGGCGGAAGCAAGGGATGTGGTCCCCCACGAGGTTGCGGCCTGGCATGTCGGGGTCAGAGCTAGATCGCTATTAATTATGTATAAACTAAAAGGACTTGCCTCTTCGCGTGTTCGGGGCTTTCGGGGCGCTTGAGCGCGCCCGGATTCGATCTCTGCTGCCTGACGCTGGGCGTACGCCGACAGCTCTACCGCATTAGTCGGGGCTGATAAGGTATGGTGATGGTTGGATGTGCCGACCAGACGAAAAAACTAAACAAGCGCCATAAAGTCAGCGTCATTTTTTTTGAGAGAGAATGAGCGTAGGCGATCTCCAAGAGCGTTCAGAGTGACTCACACGTTTAGCAAAACGAGGGGGTAAAGAACGATCCGAATGGTCCTAATAAAGACCTGTAAGCATCTTAAAGCCTAAAGCCAGAAGGGCTTGTATAGTACCTTGTCGGTATCCGTGGTGACTGGTGCCGGTGCTCTCCAGGGAGATGGAGAGTGATGATTTGGGTGATTATTCTCAGATGCAGTCCTTGGAAGCTCAGAGCTGACGATCGAAGACGTTTCCGACGTTAGAGACGGGTAGTTTGTCGAAGTTGTCGCGAATGACGGGGGCATTCACCAGCCCAGCTTTGTGCCGTGTATTATCGACAGATTTTTGAAAATGTCTTTGGTAATTCCAAAGACGTAGCCTGAGCTGGCCGGGTACAAGTGATGAAAAATGACGAGCAGGTGTGGTTTAGCCGCGCTCTGTGTTCGTTCCTTCGATTCGCCCTCCCACACGCCTAGATGAAACCAATGCAACCAGTTTATCCGATACAATTACAAAAATCATGCTAAAAATCTAAAATAACCCGGATCAAATCGTGGAAGTCATATATGCGAGCCAGTCCATGTTGACCCTCTGCTGATGCACGAGGGAATTTTCATTGCTGCATCAGGTCGTTAGAATGGGTTCCTGTATTGCCTGATGAACTAACATACCTCTTTTGAATCTCTAAGACTGGCAAAGTATCTGTCTTTAAACGTCGAGCCGGCTACAGAGCCAGCTATCGAGTGACGAAGTGTCGAGGAGCCATTACTCGACCCTGTGGAAGACAGGTGTGTGCATGTAGAGGCCCTACGGTCTTCGGCCTTGAGAGCACTGTGCTCCGAGAGTGGACGGCGGGCGTGTTTCTTGAAGCCCTGGTCATGTCCCGTCAACAGCTCGCCTTCATACTGTGTCGAGCAAGGAGAATGCGATTCTCCATAGTCAGTAACGGGGTTGAGGGTCTAGAAGGTGTCAAGGTGAGGACACGAGTCGGAGTGGGTAAAGGTCGACGTACAAAGCCATACCAACTGCCATCGTTCAGGTTATATACGAAGCCACCACGCGTAGTGGATGTGCCCTCCTGACGATCATTATTCATTTCTAGAGAGGCCATGGTTAATGAGGGGGAGGGTCTAGACCGTGCGACAAGAGGATAGGAAGCGGGGTGTGCCACTCGCCCCGAGGGAGCTATCCAATTCTTTTATAACCCTCGAGGTACTTTATGCCCTATTTTTGGGTAAAGTGACCTTTCCGGGTGAACGTTTCGGTATATCACACACCCAGCGCCTCTCCGCGCTATTTAGGGATCAACACCCCCCTTGAAGATCAAAAGGCATGCATCGAGCATCGATCATAACTCTATTTCACCTCGCGAAAACCGTCCTAACGAAGGGTCTATAAATTTGGCAGCAGCGAGTTCCTCGGACGCCACATTGTAATATGTTCCGGTGGGCGGGTGATCCCAACGTCAACACTTCCTGGGTTAGACAACCTATTTGGGCTAAATTGTCGACGGGCCCCCCTTCGGAAGGTCGGATACATCGTCCGCATCGGACGTCTTTGTGGCAAACCTTTTAGCAGCTCATTTATCACCTGAAGAATCCTTCGTCAGCATATTCCGACTCGACTCCGAGATTACCTGTCTTTATGCAACACGCTTACGCCTGCCTTTCAGCTCTCCAATAAGGTCGACACGAGCCAGTGGCTTGCTAACATATTTATCTCTTCCAACGTTTCTCCCATCAGCACCTCGGTACTTCCCGGTCGAAGAGCGTTCTGGCAATTGAACGACGCCTTCGTCTGTCTTGTGGGTGTCCCCACCCGTGATGGTAGGCCTTAACTGGAACGGTCCGGTTCGAGACAATCATTTCTTCTCATTAAGCGTGCATACTCAGAGAAAGGCTCATTCACTTTTGGGTGCACAGAATCTTCCGCAGCAGTCCCCGTACACCGCGCAAGCTACGTTGCCGCCAAAGGGATTGAGGTTGCACAAGTGCCTGGACACATTACCTGATCATCAAGCCACAATCATAAAACACGACTATGATTAATTGTATGGTGCGGGTCGGGCCCTGTATTCGTGGGAACAAGGCCACAGACCGTCTCCCGTCGGCTCCTCCATGTGCGAATTTTTTTTCAGAATCGAAGAACGCGCCATCTCCGTGAATTCTTCGAACCCATAAAACCCCCAGAGAAGTCGATTCCGATATCTATTCCCCTCCCCATGTACGACGGAAATGTCGGAGCTGGAC